TCGAAATTTGTTTTCATCATGGTTATTCCTATGAATAGCAAAAGTCAAAAACGTGGAGAGAATAATATCTTGCCATTTCCCACCCATCCAAATTACCCGTCCAAATGGTGAAAACAGCTTGATTTTTAAGTGTCGCCACTGTTGCCATCAGCTGTCAATGAAGAAAATCTCAATCCTCGTGGTTAATGACACAGTACTTAATGACATATTACTTAACTCCCTAAGGCCCGTATTCACCAAATTTGGTTAAAGTACGACCTTAAAGGAAGAATTTTAAGTGTCACGTTAAAGTGCCACTTAAAAAGTTGGACCCCAATCGACATACGTATTCACCAACTGGAAATACCTCATACTTTAATTTATAGGCTGACCTCCCACTTATGCTCTAAGTGGGAGGTCGACCTATAACTCAAAATGGTATTCAACAATAATTGATCACTGATGTGACACTTTCAGCGGAAAATTAGTAATAAAAAGTGGACAAACCAGTTTTGGTGAGGGGTGTAGATGTTAGAACTTGGGAGGTGACTGTTTTGGTGATTGCATCATGATCAGATGCTTGCGAATGTGCCCTTATTAATATTTGTATTCGATTGTCCGTTTCCGTTTGTTTGCTATTTTGTACTCCCTTTGAGATTTAAAAGACCTGCAATTTCCTAATATTGCCTAGTTCATTGCAATTTTGTTAAGATCCAGAAAAATGGATGATTTTGATGACTTGTTAGACCTACAGCAACAGTTGGAAGTTTCTAGAGGTGTTCATCGCAGGCCTGCTACATTAAGAGATCGACTGAATCCACTTGAGGCCTACGATGACGTCGATTTTTATCACCGTTTTCGTGTTAAGAAAGAGGGTTTTCTTCCGATCCACCAATCTGTGGAGCCGTTACTTCCTCAGTATAGAAAACAAACTAATTCCCCAATGAGCCCGATGCAGCAGCTCTCTGTGGCGCAACGGTTTTTTGCCACTGGTGATTTTCAGATCTCTTGTGGCGACTTTCAGGGCATTAGTCAGTCTACAGTGTGTCGCACAGTGCACAGAGTAACTAACGCTATCGCTACACTTTCAAGCCAGGAGATAGTCTTTTCAGATGACACAAGCGAAACTAACAAATGGTTTTTAGAATACTGTGGGTTGCCTGCTGTAAGTTGGGTTGTGGACGGTTCACACATTCCTATTCAGAGTCCTGGTGGATTGGATACGGAATTGTTTAGATGTCGAAAAACATTTTTCTCCTTTATCACGCAATTTGTGTGCGATGAGAAGCTAAGAATCATTGACGTGGTTAGTGGATGGCCTGGAAGTACTCACGACAGCAGAATTTGAAACAATTCTAAGCTTAGCACTGACTTCGAAACTGGGATGAGGCAGGGGATACTCCTTGGTGATTCGGCTTATCCGTTGACCCCGTATTTGATGACCCCTTACCCTCACCCTCCAAATTCAAGAGCAAAGGGGAAATTCAACAAGGCACTATGTGTTCTTAAACGGAGATGGCCATGTCTTAGCAGAGGATTGAGGTGCTCTCATACTAAAGTTCCCAATATCATAGTGGCTTGCGCAGTGCTACTCACTTTCCTTAAGTAGGCTTATTTGTCACCTCTTTTGTTTATTCTACAGATTGACATGTTTAGTTATGCCCCATTTAGATGATGTTTATTTGAGAGACTGTCGGGACTCTTTCTTTGGGACGGATTTCTTACTGTATTACCCTTGAGACATTTTCTTGATCAGAGCCAATAGTTTCATTTTTACGAGTTCTTACGAGAAACTGTTATCTCACTAAATAATTGTATACAATCTGTAATTATCATTTGAAATATAAATTGCAGTTCAACTGTTTACATAGTATGATAGTTCAATCGCCAACACTTTACTTTACAAAACTGTTCTCTTAGACGTACAATTTGAATTCTATCAGCATATCTTTATTACATATTCATATCATCATCAGGATGAGCGACAAGATTTTATAAGAAAACATGAAAAAGGAAGAGGTAGCAGCTGTAGACGATACCGATAAAAAGAAAAGAGCACCTAGAAGACCAAAATTTAGAGCGGAGGAGAGAGCGTATCTTGTTAAGTTGGTTGACGAGAAAAAAGACATTCTGAAATCGAAAGTCACCAGTCGTGACATAAGAGACATAAATAAAAAAGCTACGACTTGGAGAGAGCTAACTGCTCAATTCAACTCTGGTTGTATTCATGCCCCTATACAAAGGAATTGCGGAGAGCTCAAAAAAAATGAGACAACCTTAAAGATGAGGCAAAAAAGTCTGCAGCAGCACGGAAAAAAGAGCTCACCAAAACTGGAGGGGTAAAGGCAGACATTGCCGTACCTGATGAAGTGCTCATGCTCATAGAGAGCATCATCAAAGGAGGGATAAACCCAGTCAAGTGTGAGTTTGACTCTGACTCCACCCTTGGGAGTCTAAAAGAAACTGACCCCTCACCAGATGTAGAGGTAATAAACCTGGGTGAAGAGGAGCAAGAGTGCCCTAGCACTTCAGCAACAAGTTCGAGCATTAGTACCCCAGCAAGCTCAAAGAAGAAACCCTCGTTGGAGGTAAAGAACGAGACAAAGAGGCAGAGAAATTCTCCTGCCTCGTCATTTCAGCCCAAGGCAACACATAGGGAAAAACTGTTCATGTTGCAGGATTGGGCTGAAGAGCTTCACCAAGCAAGAATGGGTATTCTGGCACTTCAGCAAATTCAGATGCAGCAAATGCAAATGCAGCAGGCTGAAAGGCACGAACTTTGGTTGGAGATTCTAAGGGCCCACAGGGACAACCTGGTACCAACGGCCACCTCTACCGATCTGCCTTTCTCGGCTGGCCTCCTCGCGGAGCTTGAGAATGGAGACATAGCTGATTTATCGTAATTTTTATTATTTTTATTAAGATTGTTTTTAAACGCTACTACTACTTTTACTCTTGAAACACTATGGTTTTTCTTTGTTCCACACGGCACTAGTATATAATAAATAATTAACTTCAGATTTTAAAGATTTCATTTACTTCTCAAATTATTTTAATTTTTGTAATTGTCAAAAGTATCAAAACTCTTGTCGGATATATCAAAACACATAATGTATATGTGCGACTGCTACGTATGTAAACTGTGAAAGTAATATTTTAAGTAGCTGAGGTCTGTAGTTCAAGGTTGATATAGCTGTACCTTAAAAATATCAGTTTTAAGTGTGAGTTTAAGTACCAACTTAAGTGTCAGTTGATTTGGTGAATACCAAATTTAAGGGATTTTAAGTGTCACCCTTAAAAATTAAGGGTGACACTTAATCGTGAATTTGGTGAATACCATTTTTAAAGTTGCCACTTAAACTCTTTTTTAAGTGCGACCTCATACTCAAAACGCTGTTTAAGTATGACCTTAAGGTTGGTGAATACAAATCTCACAAATTAAACTACGGCAGGCGCGGCGTTACTTATTTAGAATTAAAATCAAACAAACTTACTCGTTGTTGAAGATAGTGACTCTTCCTTAACTTCTTCAAGCAGTAGGCTACAATGAATGTTCCTGACATCAGTATCAGAGAAAATAGTGCTGTATTTGGGCATCCTGCCAATAAATCACTTGTTAATTCATTAGGAATTTATTTCATTAGAAAATTTATGTAGATAGTGGAAAATAAATTATGGCGGGATTCATATATTGAAATATGTATGCTGAATACATTTCTTCTGAGCAATCACAATTAAACAGTACTGGAGAATATAGTTTGAGCACAGAATCTTAGTAGTAGTCCCCATGAAATACAGGTATGAAAATACTTGCTCAGGTAATAAATAAATACCTGGATGGTATTTAGGGAGGGGTGTCATGCTAAGTTTACAGTATTCAGCACTCGTCTCGTTACCAGCACTGGTAATTGGGTTCTCCTTAAATACCTGTGGAGATAGTTGAAATACTGTTGAAATACTGTTGAAATACTGTTGAAATACTGTTGAAACTTGAAATACTGTCAGATACCAGCTGCATACAAGGGTATAAAGGTTAGTGACTAAGTGCTTGTGTGTCCTCAGTTTGTGCATTCAAGTATAAATTAACCAAGTTAAATTCACAGAATATTGATAATACCAATTACGGTTGTTTGAAAATACCAGTAAAACACTTACAGCTATAATATCATATCCAGCTTCATAGAGAAAGATGAGTGACACCATCACAGCGACTATCTCTTCTGTAAATCGACTGGGAGGTTGCACCATGATAAGACAAACTTCACATTTTTGTTTTTATCTTCTTTACCAACAGAAACATTGAGTTTGCAAATTTCAGTCTCATTAACTGTTTCTTAGTGAATGAAGCACAAATTTAATTAACGTCTGTGAAGTTGAAAAGTCTTTGTAAACTTTTACTGTTTGACCTCTACAATAGTAGAGGTTGGACCAGCATCAACTATAATATAATATAAATACTTGTAGGTACTGAGATACTGGAAGCTTCAATATAGGTTACTAGACTGTGCTATTGGTACAATTATTGTGAGCAGACTGGGCAATTGACTAAATAATTGTTGCCAAAAAAATCAAAACTATGAAAGATAACTCACGTAAAATAGTGAATAAGGAAACCAAGTTCGAGAAAAGAGAAACTCGTGAAGAAGAGGAATATCCAGCAACCTATCCAGGCTCTCCATTGCAGGAAATCAAAGTGAACGTAATCGTAGTGGCAGAACTGAAAGTGAAATTGAAAGTGAAAGTGAAAGTGAAAGTGAAAGTAGTCGTAGTGGCAGAAGTCAGAACTACAAGACGTGTAATGTGTATGAGAACTCACGTGACTAAGATGGACCTCGAAGACGTAGATAGGACCAGTACACCCAAACACGGTAAGAGGCTGTCCTGTAAGGAGACTGAACACTACCCCTGTAACAGGAAGTGAAATAATTGTTTTTATCCTTGAATACCTTAATTTAGCAATTGTGAACTTAAAATTGTTCAACTAAATAACATAGCTTAATGTTCTCTACGATGTACAATTGGAAGGGTTATTAAAGACAATACAGCCGGATCCAACCAGGAATATAGACCTCAGATGTATGCTAATTTGATTCAGTTCTTCACATAATTCTTTTTATCACTGACCTCCTTTAAAATTTGACTAATAATTATAATAATTAATTAATTATCATAATTTTATTTATGTATGTTGCATCCTTGGATTTCTTGGAGTCCTTGGACCTGGATTCTTCGGCTACTTAAACATGGCATGAAATAAGGCTGTGGCTAGAATCCCACCCCCATAAATTTACGTATTCCATATCTAACAAACCTCCAAGGCAAGTAGAGAGCAGCATCTCAATGACTCCGTAGTCCCCTTAAGTGTGTTTACCAGCCAACCCTCCAAAGGTTATAGCAGGGGCTAGCATCAGACCGAACATCAACAGTACACTTTCCAGTGTCACTAGGTTCATCCCATCTTTTATATCTCTAATAAAGTTTGTTAAAATGTTGTTAAAATGTTGTTATAATGTTGTTATAATGTTGTTAAAATGTTGTTAAAATGTTGTTAAAATGTTGTTAAAATGTTGTTAAAATGTTGTTAAAATGTTGTTAAAATGTTGTTAAAATGTTGTTAAAATGTTGTTAAAATGTTGTTAAATGTTTGTTTGTTTGGGGACCAGCTTTTGGTACACTGGTTAATGTTTAATATAATTGAAGAATGAGTCAATTTTAAGTCAAAATGGCTAGGACTCTAGACTGTCACTGATAGGAGAAAAGCATTGACAGATAACTGATTGTCTAGACTCTACACTATCTAAGTTAACTCATATCCAAATTTATTATCTTACGATAGATAGCGCTTGCGTAACGTCTTGACATCTCTGATAAGACCACCAAAGTACCTCCCAGTACGGGAGAGGGGGTCGAAGTGCTCTTTAAGCTCGCTGCTGTATCCAACCACTGGGTATCTCACTGAAGAGGCGAGGTTTTTTTCAGGCTCAAGCATGGAAAAATGGTAAGAAATGATCATGATTGGTGTACCCATGACGGTAAAAAAAATTCAAATGGATATGATAGTGAGATAATAGCAACTGTTCCGTTCAATACCTCGTTTGTCTTCATCGATCTCAGCCGCTTGTTTTTTTCTCTTTCTTATCGATTTCTGCAATTTTAAAAACGCTTATACAATGTGTCTATAAATGATCTTCTAAGATTCCAAACAACCTACTGTAATTATAAATTCTGTTGATTATACTACTCTTACCCCCTTTCTGGTTCACAGATCTCTACATACTTAACAGAACACACCTGTAAAGTTTTAGGTAGGATATGGTCAGCGCCGTATTCTCCAGGGGGCAGGACTATACTGTCGTTAAGAAACACATTCAGCTCCGCCAGGACCTCCTCCTTGCTGCTAGCGGAGTACATCTTCTGTTGGAACTCCTGAGGTGTGTACTTTGTTATGTAGTTTGTTATGTACTTTGTTATGTACTTTGATATGTAATACGTTATGTACTTTGTTGTGTGCTTTGTTATGTGATTCTTTAAGCTCGTTGATAAGACCTGTTTCTATGAACACCGATTTATAAAATAAGGATTAGATCAAACCGCTATTGCGATACCCATGTCCTTAATGGTGATCTGTTACATATTATATAGTTACGATAATTGAATACCATTGCTGCTCCATCTCAATTGTTACCTTCTATAATAATATGTTGTGCGATTAGTCGCATTGTCTAGATAGTGATCCCACAATCTCTTACTCGTCTGTTAAGTTGCATATTACTACTAATTATTACTAATTATCTCTTAGCGCATAGTCAAAATTCATTGCATTGATACACTATCCAGGTTCAAACCCAAAATATCCATAATTAGGCAAGGTTCAAAACTCCATAACAACAAAGCTATAATTTCTCTACAATGTCAAATTGTAAAATTGGGGAGGTCATTATAGATAATACAGCCGGAGCCAGCAAAGATCGAGGCACAAGATTACAAGATTGGGCGAGGGTTAGACCCCAGATGTATGCTAATATGATCCAGCACTCTGCATGCATCTCATTGCCAATCCTATTTCGCAGCAGTCTGTAATCAGCTATGGGGTCATTGCTTTCATTTCCATTGATGAATTTCCAAAGTAATTATACATTTCGAGGTAGAAGGTCTGTGGATGCGATAAACGCGAGTGTATAAACGCAATGTATAACATTGTTTCAATCACATGATGGTAATTTTGTCATTGTCAAGTTGCTAGAGCATAATTTTCTACCACCCATCCATCGAGGCGGCTGGTTCTATAATCTTAGAATCTTGTTGTATATAATCAGCAGCTAGGTACGGCTATTATATGCTCCCTCCTTGTCTTTGTGTATGTTCATCCATCTTTTGTGGGGACGTAACTTCTCAATCTCTTGAGCGGTTTAAGCAAGAGAGGCAATGTATAGATGCGGTAAGATTTTGCAAATAGTGCGTTCCCGCACCTGCCTAAGATTGACTCAAGTAAGGCAAATTTCGAGGAAAACACCACGCTTAAGCCTTACTCTCAGTTTGGATTAGTCAACAGCGTAGTATGTAACGTGGCATATTACATGATTGTTTAGTTTAACGATCAAATAACTTACAAGGTTGATGTATCACACCGAGCGTCATGACAATACAAGATGTAAAATTCTAGAATTACCCTCCTAAAAGCTTTAAAAATTAGATGAGCAGGATAATTGGAGTTAGTCTAGCTGGCGATGAGCATAATTGAGACAGAGCATTTAATACTGACTTACTGTTGAGGGATTCAGCTTAAGGAGTTGTTCATTTGCCAACTTTCACCCTCTTTTGTTTTTTCTCAATTATTGATAGTATTATTTGTCATCTGATGATGTGCATTGATAATGAACTTTTTCCTGATTTTTTCCCCTATTGAGTATGTTTAGGTTATAATACAGGTGCACCCCACAATAATAGAATAATAACAAATACTCCTCGCCAAAATACTTAGAACTCTATCAATGGAGACCAATATTGACTTCATTGACTATTGCTGTAATACACTAACACAGATCTGTATCTGATAAAAAGTCTATTACTCTGACCCCACAATCGCACCTGGAATAGATTTATGAGCTCCAGTTATATTTTATAGATCTACTCATTATTCATCTATTATTCACCTGGTTGGATAAGTTGAATTATTGACATATTTTATGTGAAGTGGCATAATAATAATAATTATGCACTCACGTGACGATGTCCCCATTCTAAGTATATTATCTCTATTTATTTATTCAATAATTTATAAAGATCAAAGAACAGATTGATGGCCTGTCTTTGATGGTCTGAATTGTTTGATTATTTGTGAATTGCTTTCATCACTCATTGGGGAACAAATCGAATGAAACGTGAATGATAAATGTCTTTTCCAGCAGCTCGTTTGTTTGTTCCGTTTTTGGAATTGTATTAGACATCTCAAATTGCTGTGATAGTGAAAAATGATAGCTATAGCTATAACCAGATCGTGAGGAAGCAATGGTCTGCATTTTATTCATACTTATCTAACATTTCACATCTTCAATAGTTAAATTAACCTTTGTCGGAATTTAACAATTTGATATTCATTTCCAGGAGGAAATACTCGGAAATCATGTAAGAAGAAAACGACTAATAATTGTATACTGGCAATGACAATAAAACTGATTAGGCAGGACGGAACACCAAACTTTTTTCTTCTTTAAATAAATGCATAATTACAGCCATGGTTCACTAAAAATACGCAATAGCGATCCTGAATTACATCCTAAAAACGCAATACTGCCTAGCAGTCTAGCCGTCAAAACGCGTACGGTTTATCCATTTTCCCTTAACAAATTCAAAAAGAGTAGGCAGCATTGAGTGATGTTCCGGTAATTTCCCAGTCTACTTAGTGTACCAACTTCAATGAGCTCGCTCCATCCATCTGGCACATACTAATTACTAAAGTTTTGTTTGATTGTATTATATTATGTTTGACTGAAAATTTGTGTCATATCATAACAGAATGGCAGTGGAGCAAGTTTTCGGTATTAAGCACTGGTCGAACTTTGGATATTAGAGGTCATGCTACTATACCAGGCTGTAGAGTGTAGACTAAGATCTGTTCTAAGTGGCACAGTATGAGAGGTTTGTTTATTTGTACTGACTAAAGTCTGTAGAAAATACCTTAGTATAGTCATTATTCATCCATTCGAAACTATGTATGCCCTAAATACAATTTCTATATTACAAAGGATGGAATCCCCGGATTTTTCCAACAGAACCCTCTACGGTGAACAAACTGATGGATTAAGGTACGTTTGGACAGTTTGGCTGATTATCATGCTGTTTCCATCTCTCTTCGGAAACACTACCATACTTGTAGCCTCTTTAAAATACAGAGCAATAAAACTGCACAGAGTCATCGTAATGTTTGTAGAACATATTGCCCTGCTGGATCTCGCACTGGCTATCTCCTGTTTGATACCTAAAACCGCATCACTTATTGCTAACCAGTGGGTACTTGGACGGGGTTTGTGCTATTGTGTTGTCATGGCTACCTACTTTGGACACTCAGCTAAGTTGCAGTATATTGCAGCTATAACAACGTGCAAGTGGATACTGCTCAGTTACCCTCTCAAAGCTAAGCTCTGGTTCAGAAAGCAAGCTTCACTCTACCTCAGTGTTTTTATCTGGATCATATCAACTGTTTTACCCATATCTTTCCTCGTGGTAGACAGAGACGATGTGTCTTTCGACTATCGAACTTATATATGTGCGTATGGATACACGTCAGACATCTGGCGGTGGCTCCAGCTTGTTTTATCAGTTGTTCTTGGGTTCATTCCAATGATAATTATTGTTATTATGTCAGCTCTGTTGGTTTCCCATCTGTTAAAAGCGAAAAGGTCAGCAGAACGAAGCAGAGGAAGTTTCCGATGGCAGGGTCTTATAACAGTTCAGATGACTGCAGCCTTGTATATTCTTTCTTATCTGCCTTTTATCAGCTACATGGTCGTCGATGCACTGACCGAACAATCTGATTTACCCATGAGAAGTTCATTTTACCCTTTATACCACAGACTGGCTAAAGAATCAATGTGGTTAAGTGTCATGTATAACGTGTTTATCTACGCATTTACAGTTAAAAGTTTCAGAGATTACCTTAAAGGAGAAGTTCGTCAGAGGTTATCTACAGTTTCCTTTCAAGGTACCACCAAATATCCTACTTAATCTAATTTTAACATCAAAAACTTTATTTATTGCCCCTACAATAAATAACGTAGAGGCCCTACCCTTACACCTTTTAACTGCGTTTCATTTAAAGAAACATAGATAATTATTATCAGTTTCGAATTTTATTTATAATAATATGTACCTAGCTTTATTAATTTTTAGCAGTGGAATTAATTATGTTAATCAATAATTTTCAGGTGACATGAGTTTTTCAGCAGTCACCGGACAAGCCTTCAACATAGCCCGATCAAGATCGCCAATAATAAATAACTACAGACTGACTAGGAGACAAAGGACGAGAAACTTGTTAAGAGAACGAAATATTGAATCATCTGATGAAGTGTTCGAGGTAGATAGTTCTCGGACACTCCGTCAATAAAGCCCTCAGGCGTCTTTCAAACATCATGATATGTATCTTAAACTATAATCTCAATAAAGGTGTGGGTATGTGTGTGTGTGTGTGTGTGTGTGTGTGTGTGTGTGTGTGTGTGTGTGTGTGTGTGTGTGTGTGTGTGTGTGTGTGTGTGTGTGTGTGTGTGTGTGTGTGTGTGTGTGTGTGTGTGTGTGTGTGTGTGTGTGTGTGTGTGTGTGTGTGTGTGTGTGTGTGTGTGTGTGTGTGTGTGTGTGTGTGTGTGTGTGTGTGTGTGTGTGTGTGTGTGTGTGTGTGTGTGTGTGTGTGTGTGTGTGTGTGTGTGTGTGTGTGTGTGTGTGTGTGTGTGTGTGTGTGTGTGTGTGTGTGTGTGTGTGTGTGTGTGTGTGTGTGTGTGTGTGTGTGTGTGTGTGTGTGTGTGTGTGTGTGTGTGTGTGTGTGTGTGTGTGTGTGTGTGTGTGTGTGTGTGTGTGTGTGTGTGTGTGTGTGTGTGTGTGTGTGTGTGTGTGTGTGTGTGTGTGTGTGTGTGTGTGTACGTGTGTACTGTGTATGTACGTGTGTATGTACGTGTGTAATTTCCGAAACGGCTTAATCAGTTGTATAATTCTATCACTTAAGGGGCCATCTACTTAGGACGTCCCCCCCCCCCCCCCCCCCCCCCCCCTTAAAATAGACAATAGTACATACATTAAGACTCATAACAGTTTAGCACAGTTACATTTAAGTAGCCATCCAATCGAATAAGTTTTAAGGCAGTAGCTAGGAGAATATGCGAGTTGTGTCTCGGCTCTCATGAGCTGCTCTGGGAATAGACTTCTCGTTCAAAATACAGGGATCTAAACTTACAGAGTAATTAGTGTCAAAGAGTTGAAATAAATGGGACTTTTTCGTTCACTCTGCCAAAATTTCCAGACGTCCGGATTTTTAGAAACCACCCCCCTCCCTCTGTCCGGATTTGTCCGAAATTCAAAAACCACCCCCGTCCCTATTTGCCGGTCGTCCTAAGTAGATGTCCCCTAATTAATTATCTAATTGTTCACCTGATTACTCATGATAGTAGCGATGCTCCGGCCCACCTCGTGGTAGTCCACGGAGTCGGAGTGGGGTCCAATAACCAGAAACAGGAACCTCACGGGCATGTAGTACTCTGTGATGTCGTCTGAAATTGGATAATTATTAAAATTATTATTTATTACGGCGATTATTCATGAGTTACCCTGAAAGGAGATTGTGATTTGATATTTTTACGAACTTGGTTTTAATTTCGGGGGATAATAGAACTTTGATGTACGATCTTTAACATCAAAGGGGTGAGCCCATCGTACCTACTTTACCAAAATTGTCAACGATGTCAGCTTAAAGTAAATTTAAGAAAAAATAAAATTCCGTTATAAGAGTAGACAAATCACCCAGCCACTCCATTTCGCGCCTTCCATAAAGTTGTACGCGGATATAGGAAGCAGATATACTTTGACGAAGATAATGAATTAAAGACGTTATAACCAACATCCTCACATCCCTATCACGTACATGTATATATATTATTACCCTTAATTGTCATCGTGAACTGTATATTATTCATAATTTGCGGGTGGAATTTTAATATTACCTCAAATCAACAACACAAACATTGGTTTTATACCAATGTATAATTATTAATAATACTTTCAACATTACTATATAACTATATAACAAATAATTTGAGGCTCTTATCATGTAGTTTTACGAAGATTTCGAGCCTTACGTTGTGTGTTTCCCTTCGTGTCCAAAAATATAAGCTATGATTTATAAAGATAAAGCAAAGTTGTAAGCTAATATTTGAAGAGTTTTTTTTTTGAAAACGAAATTAGATATATATACAGAATAGTATTACAGGTTATATATATTATGAATATCATCATTGCCAAAATAACACCTTCGTGTCCAAAAGGATTATATTTTGTAACATTGTATAATAAATCACGCACCAAAGTACTGAGCATCAGCTAGCCGGATAAAAGCCACCAGAGGTTTGGTGAGAAAGTCCAGTTTTGCCACTAAAACTGGGGCGGCTTCACAGTCAGGGGGTAGACTACCTGCTCGGAGGAACCTTGAGGGGGTTTATTGGTTAATTAATTAATTGTGCAAAGTGGTGCAGATATGACAAATATTACATATTTCGAATTTGCAGTTTTTATATTAAACAAACTCAATGACCGAACTTTAACTACCTCGAGGTCCTTACTTCTCCATGTAAATACAATAAATTAATAGCATGCAACTTACATTAACGTTACCTTCTACTCTTCTAGTACTTTAACGGGGGGGGGGGGGGGTGACATGTCTCCAATGTCTCCAATGTCTTTTGTCTTTTTTGAAAAGATAGGGTGCAGAGACATGTCCTGGAGACATTGGAGACATTGGAGACACAGCTTTTGGAGACATTGGAGACATTGGAGACATTGGGGACATTGGAGACATTGGAGACAAAGTTTTTGGAGACATTGGAGACATTGGAGACACTGGAGACGTAGATGTATGATTGGAGAAGGAGGAGGATCTAGGAGGAGGATGACCCAGGAGGAGGATTCAGGAGGAGAAGGAGGAGGATGAGGACTCAGGAGGAGGACTCAGGAAGAGGACTGAGGAGGACTGAGAAGGATCAGGAGGAGGACTGAGGAGTACTGAGGAGGATGGCTGAGGAGGATGGCTGTGGAGGATGGCTGAGGAGGATGGCTGAGGAGGATGACTGAGGAGGAGGACCTAGGAGGGGGAGGACCCAGGAGGAGGAGGACCCAGGAGGAGGACTCAGGAGGAGGAGGACTCAGTAGGAGGACTCAGGAAGAGGACTGAGGAGGACAGAGAAGGAGGAGGACTGAGGAGTACTAAGGAGGATGGCTGAGGAGGATGACTGAGGAGGATGACTGAGAGGTAGGAGGAGGAGAACAATGACTGAGGAGAAGGAGAAGGAGGAGGACCAAGGAGGATGAGGACCCAGGAGGAGGACTCAGGAGGAAGAGGAGGAGGAGGATTCAGGAGGACTGAAAAAGAAGAGGACTGAGGACTGAGGAGGATGAAGAGGAGGAAGACCCAGGAGGAGGAGGGATGAGGACTGAGGAGGAGGAGTAGGACTGAGGAGGAGAAGGAGGGGGACCTAGGAGGAGGAAGACCCAGAAGGAGGACTCAGGAGGAGGAGGAGGAGGAGGAGAACTCAGGAAAAGGACTGAGGAGGACTGAGAAGGAGGAGGACTCAGGAGTACTGAAGAGGATGACTGAGGAGGAGGAGGAGGAGGAGAAGGACTGAGGAGGAGAAGGAGAAGGTGGAGGAACTAGGAGGAGGATGAACCAGGAGGAGGACTCAGGAGGAGGACTCAGGAGGAAGAGGAGGAGGACTTAGGAGGAATGAGAAGGAGGAGGACTGAGGAGAACTGAGGAGGACTGAATAGGAGGAGGAGGAGAGGGACTGGGGAGGACTGAGGAGGAGGACTGACGAGAAGGATGAGGAGGAGGACTGAGGACTGAGGAGGAAGAGGAGGATGAAGAGGAGGAAGAGGACCAAGGAGGAGGAGGACTGAAGAGGACAATGAGGATGAGGACTGAGGAGGAGGAGAAGGACTGAGGAGGAGAAGGAGGAGGACCTAGGAGGAGGAGGACCCAGGAGGAGGACTCAGGAGGAGGACTCAGGAGGAGGACTCAGGAAAACTGAGGAGGAGGAGGAGGAGTGAATAGGAGGAGGAGGGGGAGGACCTAGGAGGAGGAGGACCCAGAAGGAGGACTGAGGAGGAGGAGGAGGAGGAGAACTCAGGAAGAGGACTGAGGAGGACTGAGAAGGAGGAGGACTGAGGAGTACTGAAGAGGATGACTGAGGAGGAGGAGGAGAAGGACTGAGGAGGAGAAGGAGAAGGTGGAGGAACTAGGAGGAGGATGAACCAGGGCCAGGAGGAGGACTCAGGAGGAAGAGGGGGAGGACTCAGGAGGAGGACTTATGAGGATTGAGAAGGAGGAGGATTGAGGAGAACTGAGGAGGAGGAGGAGGAGGAGGACTGACTAGGAGGAGGAGGAGGGGGACTGGGGAGGACTGAGGAGGAGGAGGACTGACGAGAAGGATGAGGAGGAGGACTGAGGACTGAGGAGGAAGAGGAGGAGGATGAAGAGGAGGAAAAGGACCCAGGAGGAGGAGGACTGAAGAGGAGGATGAGGATGAGGACTGAGGAGGAGGAGGACTGAAGAGGAGGATGAGGATGAGGACTGAGGAGGAGGAGGAGGACTGAGGAGGACTGAGGAGGATGGCTGAGGAGGATGACTGAGAGGGAGGAGGAGGACTGAGGAGGAGGAGGAGGAGAAGGACTAAGGAGGAGAAGGAGGAGGACCTAGGAGGAGGAGGACCCAGGAGGAGGACTCAGGAGGAGGACTCAGGAGGAGGAGGAGGACTGAGGAGGAAGACTCAGGAAAACTGAGGAGGAGGAGGAGGAGTGAATGGGAGGAGGAGGGGGACTGGGGAGGACTGAGGAGGAGGAGGACTAAGGAGAATGATGAGGAGGAGGACTGAGGAGGAGGATGAGGACTGAGGAGGAGGACTGAGGAGTACTGATGAGGATGGCTGAGGAGGACGGCTGAGGAGGATGGCTGAGGAGGATGACTGAGGAGGATGACTGAGAGGGAGGAGGAGGAGGAGGAGAAGGACTGAGGAGGAGGAGGAGGAGGAGGAGGAGGAGAAGGAGGAGGAGGACTCAAGAAGAGGAGGAGGACTCAGGAGGAGGACTCAGGAGGAGGACTGAGGAGGACTGAGGAGAACTGAGGAGGAGGAGGATGAGGATTGAATAGGAGGAGGAGGGGGACTGGGGGAGGACTGAGGAGGAGGAGGAAGACTGACGAGAAGGATGAGGAGGAGGACTGAGGAGGAGGACTGATGATTGAGGAGGAAGAGGAGGAGGATGAAGAGGAGTAGGAGGACTCAGGAGGAGGAGGACCCAGGAGGAGGAGGACCCAGGAGGAGGACCCAGGTCCCAGGAGGAGGACTCAGGAGGAGGAGGAGAACGACTCAGGAGGACTCAGGAGGAGGAGGAGGAGGAGGAGGAGGAGGAGGAGGAGGAGGAGGAGGAGGAAGAGGAGGAGGAGGAGGAGGAGTCTCCAAAAGCTGTGTCTCCAATGTCTCCAATGTCTCCAAAAGCTGTGTCTCTAATGTCCCCAATGTCCCAAATGTCCCCAATGTCTCCAATGTCTCCAAAAGCTGTGTCTCCAATGTCTCCAATGTCTCCAATGTCTCCAATGTCTTTGTCTTTTTCGAAAAGATAAGGTGCGGGAGACATTGGAGACATGTCACCCCCCCCCCCCCCCCCCCCCCCCCCCCTTTAACTACCTCGAGTCCTCGAGGTCCTTACTTTATTTTGTTGATACACAGGGTGTATCACATAAAATGTATAAATGCATAAAAAATAATGTATACATAAACAGCAGTTGGTAAGAAGTCACATTTTATTTGGAACACCCTGCAGTAAATGAAGAGCATGCAACTTACATGAACGTTACCTTCTAGTACGATCATTGCTCTTATCCTGATCAGGATACATGTATTTCTGAAATTATCTCAGTAGATTTATAGCCTCCTCAATCAACTGTCTGATCAGTTATTGCAACTGACAGTTATAATCAAGTTTAATCAGGTTTAATCAGCCATGATCAGCTATAGCGACTGACAGCTACAATCAAGAATTGGACGCAGATACCTTTTATAACCATAACTGCAACCACTTCGACCGGAATTGAAATTTTAAATGATACCTGTTAATAATTTGTCGGGGCCGGGGAAAAGCCAGCCTTGGCAGTAACCGGGGCCGGGAGGCTGAGATCCTACAGTGAACTAATAAACTCACCTCGATTCTCGTGGAAGCATTTTTCAGCCATTGTAGCGGGGACCTGAAAATCAGCCAATATCAGCCAGCAACTCAGCAATTTTATAATTTGTAGCATACTTGCCAGTCAGCTTTCTTGAATTTCTTAGCATTGTTAAACGGGCGTAAAATATAGCTATAATAATGGTTTAGCATCATCAGCTACTTATATTACAGCGGTTGATCCAGGAAGTGGGCCAAACACTGCTTACCACAGAATGCGAGATCTATAATTGCTGAGCTTGCAGGCGCAAGACATAATCTTACTTTTACATTGCAGGACTGAAAATTGTGAAATATGTGATGATTATCTAAACAAATAAAAATCCATTGACATGCTTTCAATTTATTTTGATCCAATCAGAAAAACCCCAATTTGAAGCAACATTGTATTGTGTGAGATATTGAGATATTGGTGCCAAATCGTAGATATCAAGCAGATAAAAAACGGAAAACATTATAATTAAGCTGCAAATGTATTGCAATTACCTGTTAAGTTTATGCTTGAGGAACTGCGCAGTACTGGCTCTCCTTTTTCCGTCACTGACAGATGACTTCTTGTCCCCTCCATCCTTGCCGGAGCTGGATTCTTGAGATGCTTGTACTTCTTCAGATCCTGACGTTGTCTCCACATGTTTCGTTATTGCATCCAATACCTTGTGGAAAGAGTACTTCAAGCTGATTGTTTCTTTAATATGACCTCATATTATCGTATTATAACCAAGGTCCAAGACGCAGGTTGTACAATAACCTCCAATCTCCATCCATTTATATTATATATGATTTTAAAATGGCTACAACTATTAGCCTAGTTTTGTGCTTTCAGACTTCGATCAAGCTACCAAACAAATTCGATCAAACTATAAAAACATTGCGGATTCCATAAATGGAATTATTTTACCCTAACACCATCCTCCTCTTCCTCCTCCTCTTCCACAACGAGAGGATTGTTAAGAACAAAGTGAGCGGTAGGAGAGAGTGTAGGTCTGTCAAAATTTAGTTCGTGGAGTCCAACTGTTGACTTTCGGGGTTCCATGAATGAAACTGTCTTTCGGGAATTTAGACCTGAAAAAATTGGCTGGAAAGATCAGAACCAAAAGCAACATGCACTGAGGGGTTATTTAGTTATCCAACTCGGGCGCTTGAAGAAACAGCAGATAACGGAAAGCTTAACAAATTGAGCCATTAGATACTTATAATAAAATACTGAAATTTTTTGTGATGTAGAACTCACCAGTCCGCTTCTGTTTGATCTCTTGCTCACATTTCATAAAATCCTGCTTCACTTTTTCTAGAATGTTCGACACCAACTTGTCAGAAATTTCGGTTATCTCCCTCTCTTCTGCTGTTTCATTTGAGGAATTTCCTTGTTTTGCCTCATTTGAGTTATTTCCTTGTTTTGCCTCATTTGAGGTATTCCCTTGTTTTGCCTCATTTGAGTTATTTCCCTGTTTTGACTCATTTGAGGTCTTCCCTTGTTTTGCCTCATTTGGAGGTTGTATCTCATCCATTGTCTCCTCTGTGAGGGCGGGTAAAGTAGGTGCTTCACTCGCAACGTTAGTAAAAACACAAGACTCCAGATCTTCTGATTTACTCGATCTCCCTGAAAAGTATGAAATTATGAAGAAATGGGAGGTTTTATTGCCGAGTCAACTATACTTAAATAACTAAAAACTAAATAATTCTGCTAAAACCACGGTGATATTATAATATAAGGAACTTAAGTGAATCTTATTAGTTACCTTTAAATTCATTAATTTTGAGCTGAAGCCTATCAAATATGCTCTGTCTACGCTCTGCAGCAGGATCGGAGATGTCTTTTGAGTAACCTTGTGAAGTGGATCTGGCTCCTGAAGTTGAACTGTGAGAATTACTTGATAGAAAATAATTCATATAAAATTAATATATCTATAAATAAAATCGGAGTAAAGTAACTGAATTTAGATGAATCACTTTCAGCTTCTGTTGATTATCGTATTGATAATTATTTGTTACCAAATGTTGGATCGAAAGAAGATATGCGACGTTGTATCTTCTTGAATCTTCCGAGATCCTCATCCGGGCAGCTAAGTCGTTTCTGAAATTAAATCACCATGAAGCATTCATTACTGATGAGATGCTACATAACATACTAAACAATAGACATACTAAACATACATAATATTATACACAACATAACATGCTAAATTCATAAGATTTATTATTGGTTCATAATTTTTTGAATTGTGTAAACTTTATTGGTTTGAAATTTGAATCATTATTGTGTAATTTTGCTAAATTGATCAAAATTAAACTTATTATATCCGTTTATTATTGTATCACAGTATCAATAACTATAACAATATTATTATGACAATTTGCCAGGAAGTACTCCTATCGTGATTGCGATGCTATTTAACGTTCAAGAGTCTTGATCAAAGCGTGTCCTAAATGTTACTTTTTCTAGAATTCCAAGCCCCAACGAAGATGGTTAATGTGTTTAACACGCTGTTTAACACATTGTTTCTTCTCTCTGGCCCTTTTGTTTGAATCAGCCGCAGATTCCTCACAATAGCGCCACTGATGAAATACAATGGAAGTAGCACTGAAACAGTGTTTCTACTGGTAGATTTGTCACTTGTATGTGAAATGTTACAGGTCACGGTAACATGGAACTGTTTTGTTATGCGGTAACATTGGTGGTTCTCGAACACACTTCATCCTGGATTTAGACCTGAGTATCTTTAACATGCCCGAAACCATGATAAATGTTGTTTGAAATCAGACTGACGAAACTCTATAAATGAAGTGGCATCTCCTATTTAAATTCTTGTGATTTGATAGCCTAGAAGATTTGCCCCAAGAGAGTAATAATGCCAATGCCATCTCAGTAATTGCACTATGGGGGGGGGGGGGGTGTCATGTCCGTCTATGTCCGCCTATGTCCTGTCCTTTTTGGATTCTATGAGACAACGGACGTGTTTTTTGGGACATTGGCGGACACGGACGGACATTGGCGGACTCGGACGGACATTGGCGGACACAGACGGACATTGGCGGACACGGACGGACCCGGACGGACATTGGCGGACTCGGACGGACATTGGTGGACATTAGCTCAGGAGGAGGAGGACTCAGGAGGAGGACTGAGACGGAGGAGGACTGAAGAGTACTGAAGAGTACTGAGGAGGATGGCTGAGGAGGATGGCTGAGGAGGATGGCTGAGGAGGGTGACTGAGGAGGATGACTGAGGAGGATGACTGAGAGGGAGAAGGAGGATCAGGAAGACCCAGGAGGAGTAGGAGGAGGAGCACCTAGGTGGAGGAGGAGGAGAACTGAGGAGGATGACTCAGGAGGAGGAGGACTCAGGAGGAGGACTGAGGAGGACTTAGGAGGATGGCTGAGGAGGAGGAGGAGAAGGACTGAGGAGGAGAAGGAGGACCCAGGAGGAGGAGGACCCAGGAGGAGGAGGACCCAGGAGGAGGACCCAGGAAAAGGCCCCAGGAGGAGGAGGAGGACTGGGGAGGAGGAGGACGGACATTGGCGGACACAGACGGACATTGGCGGACACGGACGGACATTTGCGGACCCGGACAGACATTGGCGGACTCGGACGGACATTGGTGGACATTAGCTCAGGAGGAGGACTCAGGAGGAGGACTCAGGAGGAGGATTGAGGAGGACTGAGACGGAGGAGGACTGAAGAGTACTGAAGGGTACTGAGGAGGATGGCTGAGGAGGATGGCTGAGGAGGATGGCTGAGGAGGATGACTGAGGAGGATGACTGATGAGGATGACTGAGAGGGAGAAGGAGGATCAGGAAAACCCAGGAGGAGGAGGAGGAGGAGGACCCAGAAGGAGGAGGAGGAGAACTGAGGAGGATGACTGAGGAGGAGGAGGACTCAGGAGGAGGACTCAGGAGGACTGAGGAGGATGGCTGAGGAGGATGGCTGAGGAGGATGACTGAGAGGGAGGAAGAGGAGGAAGAGGAGGAAGAGGACTGAGGAAGAGGAGGAGAAGGACTGAGGAGGAGAAGGAGGACCCAGGAGGAGGAGGACCCAGGAGGAGGACCCAGGAGGAGGACCCAGGAAAAGGCCCCAGGAGGAGGAGGAGGACTGGGGAGGAGGAGGACTGTTGAGGACTGATGAGGAAAACTAAGCACGAGGAGGAGAAGTAGGAGGAGGACTGAGGAGGGGAGAAGGAAGAGGACTGGGGAGGATCAGGAAGACCCAGGAGGAGGACCCAGAAGGAGGAGGAGGACTGAGGAGGACTGAGGAGGAGGACTGACGATGACTGAGAAGGAGGAGGACTGAGGAGTACTGAGGAGGATGGCTGAGGAGGATGACTGAGAGGGAAGAGGAGGAGGAGGAGGAGGAGGACTCAGGAGGAGAAGGAGGAGGACTGAGAAGGAGGAGGACTGAGGAGGAGGAGGAGGAGGACTGAATAGGAGGAGGAGGAGGGGGACTGGGCCGGGGAGGACTGAGGAGGAGGATGGAGGACTAAAAAGAAGGATGAGGAGGAGGACTGAGGACTGAGGAGGAAGAGGAGGAGGATGAAGAGGAGGAGGACCCAGGAGGAGGACCCAGGAGGAGGACTCAGGAGGAGGAGGAGGACTGGGGAGGGGGAGGACTGTTGAGGACTAATGAGGAGGACTGAGGACAAGGAGGAGGAGTAGGAGGAGGACTGAGGAGGGGAGGAGGAAGAGGACTGAGGAAAATCAGGAAGACCCAGGAGGAGGAGGAGGAAGAGTAGGAGGAGGAAGCATCTAAATGTTATTTCCATTTTTGTCCGTTTTTGTCCATTTTTGTCCGCTCTATTTTTTGTCCGTTTTGAAAATATAGGGTACCGAACGGTGGAGGAGGATTGAGGAGGGGAGGAGGAAGAAGACTGGGGAGGATCAGGAAGACCCAGGAGGAGGATCCAGGAGGAGGAGGAGGAGGACCCAGGAGGAGGACTGAGGAGGATGAGGAGGACTGAGGAGGAGGACTGACGATGACTGAGAAGGAGGAGGACTGATGAGTACTGAGGAGAATGGCTGAAGAGGATGGCTGAGGAGGATGGCTGAGGAGGATGACTGAGAGTGAGGAGGAGGAGGACGCAGGAGGAGGACTCAGGAGGAAGAGGAGGAGGAGGACTCAGGAGGAGGACTTAGGAGAAATGAGAAGGAGGACTGAGGAGAACTGAGGAGGAGGAGGAGGATCAGGAGGAGGACTGAATAGGAGGAAGAGAAGGAGGGGGACTGGGAGAGGACTGAGGAGGAGGAGGACTGATGAGAAGGATGAGAAGGAGGACTGAGGAGGAGGACTGAGGACCGAGGAGGAAGAGGAGGAGGATGAAGAGGAGGAGGAGGACCCAGGAGGAGGGCTGAGGAGGACTGAGGAGGATGGCTGCGGAAGATGACTGAGAGAGAAGAGGAGGAGGAGGACTGAGGAGGAGGAGGAGGAGGAGGAGGACTGGGGGAGGACTGAGGAGGAGGATGGAGGACTGAGGAGAAGGATGAGGAGGAGGACTGAGGAGGACTGAGGAGGAAGAGGAGGAGAATGAAGAGGAGGAGGAGGACCCAGGAGGAGGACTGAGGAGGAGGAGGACTGGGGAGGAGGAGGACTGTTGAGGACTGATGAGGAGGACTGAGGACGAGGAGGAGGAGTAGGAGGAGGACTGAGGAGGGGAGGAGGAAGAGGACTGAGGAAGATCAGGAAGACCCAGGAGGAGGAGGAAGAGTAGGAGGAGGAAGCATCTAAATGTTATTTACATTTTTGTCCATTTTTGTCCGCTCTATTTTTTGTCCGTTTTGAAAATATAGGGTACCGAACGGACAAAAAACATGACCCCCCTATAACAGCAAAAATTTAACATTTTATTTAGCAATTTAGGTGTCCATTAATGTCCGTCTATGTCCGCCTATGTCCGCCAATGTCCGCATATGTCCGTCTATGTCCGTCTATGTCCGCCTATGTCCGCCTATGTCCGTCTATGTCCGCCTATGTCCGCCTATGTCTGCCTATGTCCTGTCCTTTTTGGATTCTATGAGACAAGCGGACATAGACGGACGTGACACCCCCCCCACTATGGCCCGACACTGTCACAGATAGAGTAAGATTTATAACGTGTGGTATTTATTAAGACCACAATGGCTTTTAATGAGGTAACGAGGTGCACTACTGCTGTTGATAAACGTTGGGATACGATTGGTGAGCATATTTGTGTGTTTGGGGCGTAACGTTGCCTGTTGGCGCCCCCCCCCCCCCTCCCCCCTGTTGGCGCCGACACCCCCCCCCCCCCCTGTTGGCGCCCCCCTCCCCCCCCCCCTGTTGGCGCTTCCCCCGCTGAAAAAGTGCCCCCCTGTTGGCGCCCCCCCCCCCCCTCCTCTGTTGGCGTCCTGATATATGAAACTGTATTGTAATTGTAATATAATGAACCAATAAATTATGATATTATTAAATTTTCAAGCCTCATCATTACTGCATTACATCAACCAGATAGTGTCATTCGATACCTACCGCTAATAAAATTGATCCAATAAGCTAATAAAATGGTCGGAATCCTTACATTTCAGACCTTTAGTAAATTGCATCTTATACCGATAATACTATTATCTGTGGGTTCTGGCACTAGATCCCAACTGGCAGAATACCCGTGGAATAAAGACAAAACATGCCGAAATGCTAAAAATGCTGTTATTTTATAGAAAAAAATCTGTTCGTAAGGCTAAATATGTTGAAACACCAAGTAATTTAATGATTGTATTGAATCAACCTATTGAATTTCTTGTCGCTGTTCAGATTATTATTTCTGGATGGATTTTGACTGCCGGTATTCCAAACTTGTAGTGAAAATTTAAAACTTAAAAAGTAACCTTGTTTTCTGATTTTGCATCATCCTTCTCAGTTAAGACTTTATCTGGCGCCTGATAAAAATTCATGGATCACAACAATTTTCCTGTCGACTGTTAAGAAAAACTTGTAAAACTTGTGTAAATCGCTTGTAAAATAGATTTTAAGAATTTGCAGGGAAATCTAACATGAAATCAACTTTTTCCGGTCTGTAAATGTAAATTTAAGTAGAAGGAAATGCCTGCTTTATTCCTCCAACAAAGGGAATATTATTCTAAGAGCTCAAGAGATCGTATCTATTATCTAACCAGAGAATGAGCCCTTCTGTTTCTCATAGCAGTCAAAAAATCTAAACTTTTCCTTTTATTCTTCTTGGACTGAAACTCATTCCTGAAAATGTAAGTTAAGTGATACAAGCTTATTATATATAATCAAACGAGTTTTTATCATGTATTATCTTATTATCTACCAAGTGAAAGGTAAAAGCTTATCAATCTATCTATCAAGAGTACATTTAATTGAAAACTGGACGAAAACTAGTTTTTTAACAACTCTACACAGTCTGAACTAGCAAATCCTACAAATCCTACAAATCTTTAAAATCCTACAAATCTTAACAAATCCTAAAAAATCCTACAAATCTTTAAAATCCTACAAATCCGAACAAATCCTAAAAAATCCTACAAATCTTTAAAATCCTACAAATCCTAGCAAATCCTAACAAATCCTAGCAAATCCTAACAAATCCTAACAAATCCTAACAAATCCTAACAAATCCTAGCAAATGCTACAAACTTGTGTTTCAAGAGGAGAGCACGAAGTACAATGTCCTTGTGTTCCCTCTTCAGGATGCCTTGGTGAACAAACTCATTAAGAGCCTCGTGAGCTACACCTTGTAGGGTCACCTCTCTTGAATCTATCACTGCTATACCTGGAGTTATAATTCCATTTTAGCGTAGTTTAAATTTGTAATACTAAGATGGTTGTTTTACAATTTATCTAGACATTTAAGTATTATTATAAGCTAAGTGCAGTTCAAATTTGTAATTCAGACGGTTTTACAATTAATCTCGAATTAAAACTATTTATTACTGATGTGAATAATCTTACCACATGAAAACATATTCTCAACATGACAACATATTACTTTGAGCTATAATTAATTAATAATTAATAATTAATTAATAAGTACCTTTGGAGAAGCCCCTGCGCAGTTCCAGTAGACTATGGAAACTGAGAGAAGACACGTGAGGCTTACCCCACCTCTCACTCTTCTCCATATCCTCCTCATACTGAAACACAGAGGTGTGTTAGTTTATGTGTTAGTTAATGAAACTAATTACAATTAATTAAACACAGGAGTGTGTTAGTTAATGAAACTTATTACAATTAATTAAACACAGGAGTGTGTTAGTTAATGAAACTAATTACAATTAATTAAACACAGGAGTGTGTTAGTTAATGAAACTAATTACAATTAATTAAACACAGGAGTGTGTTAGTTAATGAAACTAATTACAATTCTAATGTTGTAGTAAACATAAATGTACATAAATTGTCTAAAACAACCGTGAAACAGGTTTATAATTATAAAATTTTGGAATTAGGAGGGATAGATTCAGAGAATCTTTGATTCTCTGATTCAAAGATGTGAAACATGCTCAGTCTCACTAGTCACTAACTAGTCACTAAGTAGTCACTAACCTTGAGCCACCTCGCAGTTTCAACCCACTCCATTTTCTTAGTTTTATCATCTTCATGGAGCTCCTCCAACTCTACATACACTGTGTGGGGCCTGTAATAGAGTTCAAGGTTAATATTCAAATTAATGATTTAACTATAGCTCTATTATAGGTATACCATGTGCTGTGGAATACTGATTACTGAACAGCGAGCATTACGAATAGGAACCAAGTTGTCAAAAGATTTTAGCGCGGGAAAATAAAACCACAGAAGCTGAACCTACTCAATGTGATGACTGGTAGGAGTGTTAGTGGACTGGTAGTTTAGATCAGTTGATTTTATAGCGGAGGACAACTTTAAACCTTCTTGGCTTATCATGGTGGCTTGCTTCGACATCCTTCTACCCTTCAGATCTGAAGAGAAACGGTTAGTTGGTAAATCTCATAAAGTTTTGGATTGTAAAATATCTTCCTGAGAGAAGGGAACACAAAACTATTAAAAATATTAAACATTTTCTTGATCGGCACAAAATTAACTGGATTTGTTAGCATATTCAGTGATATTACAGACAAACCAAATGTTTTGGGGTGAGGGCAGCTACTTTCAGACCGATGTCTCTGTCTTGTCTTTTTTGTCTCTTCTTCTTCCGAACGCTGAGGAAACGCCACATGAACCAGTAACCACAGTAACCAGTAACTAATCACATGAACCAGTAACCACAGTAACCAGTAACTAATCACATGAACCAGTAACCACAGTAACCAGTAACTAACCACATGAACCAGTAACCAGTAACTTACCACATGAACCAGTAACCACAGTAACCAGTAACTAACCATATGAACCAGTAACCACAGTAACCAGTAACTAACCACATGAACCAGTAACCACAGTAACCAGTAACTAACCACATGAACCAGTAGGCAGTAACCACAGTAACCAGTAACTAACCACATGAACCAGTAACCACAGTAACCAGTAACTAACCACATGAACCAGTAACCACAGTAACCAGTAACTAGCCACATGAACCAGTAACCACAGTAACCAGTAACTAATCACATGAACCAGTAACCACAGTAACCAGTAACTAACCACATGAACCAGTAACCACAGTAACCAGTAACTAATCACATGAACCAGTAACCACAGTAACCAGTAACTAATCACATGAACCAGTAACCACAGTAACCAGTAACTAATCACATGAACCAGTAACCACAGTAACCAGTAACTAATCACATGAACCAGTAACCACAGTAACCAGTAACTAATCACATGAACCAGTAACCACAGAAACCAGTAACTAATCACATGAACCAGTAACCACAGTAACCAGTAACTAACCATATGAACCAGTAACCACAGTAACCAGTAACTAATCACATGAACCAGTAACCACAGTAACCAGTAACTAATCACATGAACCAGTAACCACAGTAACCAGTAACTAACCACATGAACCAGTAACCAGTAACTTACCACATGAACCAGTAACCACAGTAACCAGTAACTAACCATATGAACCAGTAACCACAGTAACCAGTAACTAACCACATGAACCAGTAACCACAGTAACCAGTAACTAACCACATGAACCAGTAACCACAGTAACCAGTAACTAACCACATGAACCAGTAACCACAGTAACCAGTAACTAACCATATGAACCAGTAACCACAGTAACCAGTAACTAACCATATGAATCAGTAACCACAGTAACCAGTAACTAACCACATGAACCAGTAACCAGTAACTTACCACATGAACCAGTAACCACAGTAACCAGTAACTAACCATATGAACCAGTAACCACAGTAACCAGTAACTAACCACATGAACCAGTAACCACAGTAACCAGTAACTAACCACATGAACCAGTAACCACAGTAACCAGTAACTAACCACAATAACCAGTAACCACAGTAACCAGTAACTAACCACATGAACCAGTAACCACAGTAACCAGTAACTAACCACATGAACCAATAACCACAGTAACCAGTAACTAACCAAATGAACCAGTAACCACAGTAACCAGTAACTAACCACATGAACCAGTAACCACAGTAACCAGTAACTAACCACATGAACCAGTAACCAGTAACTAACCACATGAACAAGTAACCACAGTAACCAGTAACCAACCATATGAACCAGTAACCACAGTAACCAGTAACTAACCACATGAACCAGTAACCACAGTAACCAGTAACTAACCACATGAACCAGTAACCACAGTAACCAGTAACCACAGTAACCAGTAACTAACCACATGAACCAGTAACCAGTAACTAACCACATGAACCAGTAACCACAGTAACCAGTAACTAACCATATGAACCAGTATCTCTCTTATCTTATCTTATCTTATCTTATCTTATCTTATCTTATCTTATCTTATCTTATCTTATCTTATCTTATCTTATCTTATCTTATCTTATCTTATGAGGATTCGTTGCGACGCAACAAGGCCATCGAATGAGTCGACCACCTTTGTTATATTACTTCGGCATTACCTGCATTACAATGTAAACCAGCACTTTCAAGGAAGAGCTTTACAAGAAGCCGAAGGATCGTTCCTAAGGCCAGCAACGGTTAAGGCACTATGCCACACTTTCTTCGCCCGAGGCTTCGCTGTGTTGATCAAGCACAGCTCCTCATTTAACCCTCACACCCGATTTCTCGAGCATTCGGCTGAGTGAACCGTGGGGCTACATAGACCACTCGGGATCCAGTAACCACAGTAACCAGTAACTAACCACATGAACCAGTAACCACAGTAACCAGTAACTAACCATATGAACCAGTAACCACAGTAACCAGTAACTAATCACATGAACCAGTTACTTACCGAGAAGCCAAAACACAATGTGTCAAGTGCAAAACATGACGATTATATGTTGTAAGTATAACGAAACTTTCAGTGGTATTCATAATCCATAACCACTTAATCAATTCATTAAACTTAATATAACAACTAAACTTAATTAATTTAACTATACACCTACTACTATACCTTACTACTATCAATGTGAAGATAATTAGTTAGTTCTGCGTCTTTTTAACTATACACCTACCTCACTACTATCAATGTGAAGATATTTAGTTAGTTCTGCGTCTTTTTAACTATACACCTACCTCACTACTATCAATGTGAAGATATTTAGTTAGTTCTATACACCTACCTCACTACTATCAATGTGAAGATATTTAGTTAGTTCTGCGTCTTTTTGGATTTTCTCTGCTTGCCACTTGGACAGCTCAGACTTTTTGATGACCTTTCTTGCTGCGATATTAAATCAAGTTAAAATAACTTAATAAACTATTTATAAATTATAGTTTATAGTTTATAAATTATAGTTTAACATATTTTGTAAGTTATTAATATGAGTTATTCCGTGGACAGGACCATCTCCCCGTATGGTCCTTATGATAAGAAACTATCAGTGCTGTTATCTAGTTATTAAAACACTCACATATTTGTGGTCCTAAGGCTGTGTTATGAGAGGTTGGTCTCCGTCTCCTCTGCTTGTCTCCATGGTGACGGTGGTTCCGCTTCTTCCGAAGAGGTTCATGGATACTGATACATAGCTTCCTGTGACCTGGAGTAAAATTGATATTCCACTATGTGATACTCAAACCGCAACTATAATTTTGTATGTTTTAAAGCAGCATTTTTTTCATAAATAAACAAAGCAGCACCTAAATATGTTTCATCTGATCCAGACTTTTTTTAATAAAATATAAATCAGATAACACTTGCTTTATACCTGAGTTAATGGGAGAGTCTAAAGTACTGCCATTGTTATCAATATACTCGGGGGAGTGAATACTTCCAAATTCAGGCAGCGGAACAGAGGAGAGATCATCTATACTGTTAGACCTTCCTATCTCGCTCACTAGCCCCTCTATACTGCTAGAGCTCCTCCTTTTCTTGCTCTGCCCGTCTGTGCTGCTGGAGGTTCGTCCTATTTTGCTCAGCCCGTCCAAATCTCGCAACTCCTCTTCCGAGTTCTGTTGGAGGAAAAGATGTCATTCAACACAAAACAATGCGTGGTAGTTGTAATGAACTGATTTCAAATTCAGATGTTTGAACTAATTATAATTTGTTTAATTACCCAAACGGAACAAATCTGTATAATTATCATAAATATTGGCAGAAACTACAATGAAGTTTCGATATTTAAGTATTTATTTTAGGGAAAGATTAGACTTGGGCGTTGTTATTTGACGATCCCTTGTTTAGAACTTGTATTTAATAATAATTAAAACTAATCATTAATTTTGAATTACACATATACATTACCTCCATTAATGTTATTTAAGGCACGTACTGATCGAGCATCCTAAGAGATTTTCTTGGTTAAGTGTTTTTTGGTCACAGTATTTACTATGATTAAAAAAATTTAAAAAAACAAGTTTACCTGTAATTTATAGAGGTGATCCATAATTGTTTTGACACGTGACAGTGATTTGGGCTTTTTATTGGTCAAAGCTTGAAGACCAGCTCCATAGCACTTACCTAGGCCGATTGATATTTTCAAGCAAATAAGTCCACACTTATTTGCTTGACGCTTCCACTCCACACCGGATGCAATTTCCTCTGATCGAATAATTAAGAGGTTCACAAGGGACCGTTATCATTTGATAAGCATTAACATTAAAAAAATCTATATTATATCATATCCATGGTTATTGGTTACTTATATATATATCATCACTCCTGGAACTCTCATTCCATTTCTGGAAATGTAGGATTGTTTGTTCGTTATATAACCTATCTGATTGGGTTCCATCATACCAATAAAACCACAGCGGAATGCCCAACCTTTTTAATCTAGTACTGACACTGTCCTGTTTGATTGCAACAACAGTGGCAACTGATGTGTATCAGTTCTCAGCTGAGGAGCTGGAGAGAAATACGGAGAAGATACGAGTTATCAGGCTGTACAATGATCTTGTGAGGTGGAGGTGGGTTTCACCCTTTCTCTTTCACTTTCTCTTTCTCTTTATGTACATAAATAGGACGATTTGTGTTTTTAAATAGTGCCATAATCCTTAATGCAGACGACTCCTGTCAGACGTCCAGAAGTGTCTGATGAAATTGAAAACACATCTTGTTCTGTATCTTGTTCTGTGTCTTGTTCTGTGTCTTGTTCTGTGTCTTGTTCTGTGTCTTGTTCTGTGTCTTGTTCTGTGTCTTGTTCTGTGTCTTGTTCTGTGTCTTGTTCTGTGTCTTGTTCTGTGTCTTGTTCTGTGTCTTGTTCTGTGTCTTGTTCTGTGTCTTGTTCTGTGTCTTGTTCTGTGTCTTGTTCTGTGTCTTGTTCTGTGTCTTGTTCTGTGTCTTGTTCTGTGTCTTGTTCTGTGTCTTGTTCTGTGTCTTGTTCTGTGTCTTGTTCTGTGTCATGATTGGTTCACATTGACGATTTACCGATTTATTTACTAATATAAACATGTGATACGCAAAGGGCTCAAGGTTATCTTTAGATATAGATGGATATCAACAGACAAAACATTTCACAGGAAAAAAAGTGAAGGAAAAGACTTACTGCCAGATATTATGGTACCTCATTTCATTGGAGAGGACTACCAACATCTAGAAACTTTTGCGCGAGACATTCACGGTAAAACTTTGTTAACGTTAATAAATGAACTAATTACGTCAATTAATTAATTATTTAAACTTGGTTTACGTCCAATCAATGTTTACAAGATTAGATGACCTGCTTCGATAATTACATAAATTTATAAGAAGCGAACATTTTTATTAGAAATAACAAGTAACTTGATTAATTGAAGGTGGAGCAAATGAATTGAGATTTTTCATTGAATCGAAAGAGGAAGTACCTGTTCATGTTCAGGCCAGCGCTGCCTTTTATTTCAAATTGAAAGAGGTAAAAGTTCGTTTGTCTTTTGTCATGACTGTCAGACTTGCAACATATTATGTACTAAATATAAGGTTAATTATTCTTAATTCTAATGACTGTAAACTGTTTCTTCAACAGGATATTTCTAATCGTGTCTATTTTTTCAGATGGAGAAGAAGTATATCAAAAGTGTGGGTCTAGTTCCAACTGGTATCAAATCAGGGGTGTGTGGTAATTGGACAAAACTTGAGGAAATAACTGCAGATGATGAAAACTTATTTCACTATACCAAAGGTTTTAATTTTAGTTGTTATCGATTTAAGTACACATCTCCAACAAATTTGTAAAACTAATTTCGAAGAAGTTAACAAAATCAATACTGAGAATTCTTTGTTTCAGAGTCATCAAACAAAAAGAAGTCAGCTTATAAGATAATCAAAAGGCATCTAAAGAAAGTTAAGAACGGAAAACAGCTATCGAAGAAGCTGAAAAAGCTAAAAGGAGACAAGGTGAACAAGGCTCTGGAAGATATCTCGGGTTTTGGAAAAAAATACCTAAAGTCAACCTGGATAAATAATGTAGAGGTTAGGCATCTGTTATTAACCTAAATAATTTAAAAGTAAATTGTCAGCGTTGTCAACAGAGATTTTTTCCCTACTCTTGCCGAAGGCAAAAAGATCGTAGGGAATAAGTAATCGGGTTTGGATATATGAGGTGGCCCGACGGCGCTACGTTGATGACAAAAGTCTGTTCCTTTGCAATATAGACCACTTCCCTATAATTATGTGTATAGGAAGCGTCTGTTATGCTGCGCGCGACGCTAGCCATGCGTTAATTAATTACATTGTGAGCGGAGAGTCAACAAGAGGAAGAGCTCTTGTGTCACTCGGAAAGCCATTGAGTTTGTTCCAGCAGGAGGGAGGTTTAAGGAGGTGAAGAGGTCGAAAGTCAGTGAGTTTGGGATTCTGAGTGGGGCCACTGATTGGATAGTATTAGCAGACCTGGATAAGCAGCTGAAATTCCCGTCGGATATAGCAACGACCAGATTAAGACCAGATTTGGTTCTTTTCTCGAAAGCTTCCAAGAGAGTAATCTGGTGGGAGCTTACAGTACCGTCGGAAGAGAGAATAGCTGCATCCCATGAGCTGAAGCTTGATCGGTATAACAGTCTACAAGCGGAAATACAAGCTAATGGGTGGTCATGTTTCAGCTTTGCTGTTGAGGTTGGTGCTAGAGGTGTGGTCGCAGCAAGTTTGGAGTGTGCATCAAGGAAGATTGGTCTGACTGGGAGAGCCCTCAAGAAGTTGGTCAGAGATTGTGGGAAGGATGCAGCCCATTGTTCAAGATGGATTTATCTGCTATCTAGGAAAAGAGAGTGGGAGATGAGAGCTGTTTGAGCTTTATGACTTCACCTAACAGCCAGAGGTGCCATAAGCTAACTCGTCGCAAATCGCGAGCTCTAGCAGGTATCCTCGGGTGATTGTCAGATCAGATGGTGGTCCAAGAGAGACTGCTGGGGCACCTGACAGAAAACCGTATCGCAATGAAAGCCCCGAAACGGTGTCAGGTTTGTGACTGAAGATTCTGATCAAGCTCAGGGTTGAGTCTACACAGTGTCGCCACTTGCCGATGCCAGTTGATGCGAGAAGACACTGATGTAAGTGGGAAGTTATGTCTAAGAAACAGCGTGTGGTTCGGGTGCCGGTTGAACGCATGTAAAAGGGAGGGTATATCCGTATTTCGCTGCTAGTGATGCAGTCCTTGGCCCGGTAGCTAAGGCTTCCCCGTTTCTCGCTCATTTGTGCTCCGATGGGCTTGTGACCTCTGCGGGGGTCAAGTGCAGGATGAGGGACATGGCTGACCAGGAGAAGGTTGTTTTTGGGAGATAGAGTAGGGTTGGTTTGGTGTTGTGCCTTCGCAGTTTAACTGTATCTTTACTTTGATGCCCGGCGCTACATTGGTCAAATAAATCGTCAATTTTTACCATGCACGAATCCCACTTATTTATAAAAAACATAGTATGTAAATATGTTGCACTTTTTTCCAGTCACACTTTTCACTCAAAAGAATTAATGGTACAAGTACATTGTAGGGAAAATTAATCGTGCGTGGTTTAACCGCGGCGAAATTCTTGTTAATATCGGTCGGTCACCTAAACAACTCAAAGGTTTGGTCCTCGTAAATTGAGGGCCGAAAATCATGGAGGGAGCTTAGACAGATATTAAATATTGCCTAATTCTAAACAAGAAACAGAAGGGATTTTTTTTAAATTATTTCTCTGTTTTGTGAATAGATCTATTTTCTGTATGTATTTTGGGCGACTAGATCTGGACGACTAGATCTACAGTGCCAGCAATATAAAGTTATAAGTATCCGAAACTTCAAAGTAGAGTTTTAGCGTAGTCAACAGATATTTTCAATATCCGCTGTCATATTTACCAGGTCTCCAATAATGTAAGTTATACCTATTTGTATGAGATGATAACAAGAAGCTATAAAATCAACAATTATTAACAATAATTAACAATTCAGCTAAAATGCGGAAAAGATCTGAATGATATCAAAGCGCTAGTAGCAGTTGAACGTCACCTCACAGTTCTATCAGACGGAGGTTGCGGTGAAGGTGTACTGTACAGAGGAGTGTCAATATCGCTTAAACGTGCTCTTCAGGTCCCAATTACTCTTAATTGGAGTTAAATAATTAGAGTTAATTAATTAGTCCCAATTACCCTTCTGTTAGCTGCTTATTTGCTGACGACTTTGCTTTTGTAGTTTTGTTTTTTAAACTATCAATTCCTTATTTAGATTATACCGTTTAATTGAAAACTTTGTCAATCCTCTGATGATGAAAATTTAGGACATTGCCTCTGTAATGGGAGATGAAACCGTCCTTGAGAAAATATTCTCCGATTCAACAAAAGCATCTGAAGCAGCAGAAGAATTTAACGAGTTAAAAGCTTTTGTTGCAGAGGATAGTGGTTTTGCAATATTATCTCTCAACTACGTTCAGAAGATGATACTTGACAAAATTAAAATGTAAGTTTAATTGAAATTGATGCTTTGTAACCCATCAAAATTATCATCTGCCTTGCACTCAAGGTTTTCAGCTGTATAGATGAACCGGTTGGCCTAAAATTATTTTTATTCGATGCCAGAGGAAATTTAATTGCACTGCCTTCATACAAATTTGACAGTGACTCCTTATTTTATTATTCAATTCGGGGCCAACCATTCATACATCTTTTATCAGCAGATCTTGCGAGAAATGTGATTGTAAAACGGAAAGAAGATTTGGTATTTTAAAGAATGCCATTGATAGAGTAAGAAAGGTAGAGTGGCAGAGATTCTGTGATAATTGAATTGACTTCTTATTGTACCTAATCTGGGCTTAATTTACCATACAAAAAACAAATACATACAATTTGTATCTACCATATCGGAATTTATTTGAACGGGTATTAAGTGAAGGCTGATCCAGTTAACCTTAAATTTATTGTGCTTCAGGTAATACCAGCAACGAGACAATGTAACACAAGTTGGGATGACATAGATAAAGAGGTTACCGATATCGTTTACAACCATGTCTCCGTTATAGACTACTTTGACGAGAACAGAGAAGATTTGATGGTTAACATCTCAAGACTGTAAGAGTTGACATTTACAATCTACTAATATTTAAAACTAACACTATTCATTATACAAAGTATGAATTCATCTCTGATGAAAATTATTCATTTGACTATGGTGATGCGATCGAAATACCAGTTTTTGAAAGTGGCCACATCAAGAAATCTATTTTTCAGTGATGGAATAGATGATGTTTTAGATCTTGTTGACACAGAATTACCAGCTTACTATAAAAAACCTTACATTAATCTACCTTTTGAGGAAATGCCGGTAAGCTGAATTTTAGATACTTTTGTGAATTTTGATGAAAGGCAAGGCAAGAGTCATATTCAAATATTATGCCTGAATTATTTTCACTCAATTCAGATGAAACATGGCCTATGGTGGATGGGTCTCTTTATGATTGCATACGAAAGTTGTGAACAGTTTGCTACTGCTCAAATCATCCGGAAGTTATCTGAAGAGTTTTCGAAATTGTTCTATTTCCAAAGAAGCGTGTAAGTTATGAGAAGCATTAATAATTATACTATTACGTAACTTTTTTGCAGTCAAATACACATGAACTGATAATCTCTATCGAATGTAACTGTCACCAAGATGGAACCCTGTGAAGGTCCTTAAAAAGGACCTTTTTTTAATTACGGGGGTGATGGTCAGATTGTGGATCTTTAACTTAATTTCTAGGCAGGTTATTATAGCCTTAGGGAAAGGTAGTCTTTAAATTTCTTCATTTAAATTTGAAACCTACTAATAATTATGATCATCCTTTATAAAAATCACATTGACACAGAGCCAATGGTACAACTATTATACTAATGTTTTTGATGTTTTTGAGTAAGTATGATAAAGTATTAACTTTGACAGAATTATTGATCGCTGTGGATTGATACAAAAAGAGGATCCTATAGACAGCTTCGTTTTGTCCGACAAAATAATGACCATGATTATGTACAGCATGCAAAGGACGTATGACTACAGGGAGCTAAATGAAGTGATCTTTCAGACATCTGACACCGAAATAGTAAATATTGTCATTAATTTTAAACAAGTTATCTTTTGAAGTATCACCAAATCTGATCAGTCAAGTTAATTTTGTTAGTTGCTGTTACAGTATGTGATTTGCAGACTGAGAATAGTTACGAGAAGATGATTTGGATGATCTTTGCCACAGTTCGCTCGGAAAGTTTGGAACTGGATCCGGAATTCCACAGAGCATCAGTTGAGGAGTACTTTCAATTACAACTAACTGTTAGTACTCTGTAGGATTTGCTTGATGAAATCATACAAAATAGACTGCTGTTAGAAATATTCTGAATTCCTTATTTTCTAAAGATAACAATACTTTCAACACTACTATATAACAAATAATTTGAGGTATGACACGAGGAGAGACGAAACGAACACGAAATGTCAAGAGAAAACTGGTGCTACAGCAGAAAAGGATGTAACTGGATATGAAGAAAATTGCAGTTGTGAATGCAGAAGGTATATATCAGAGGAGTTTTCATTAGCTTGTGCAACCTGTGATATGTACTGGCATTACTGGCTGTGTTGGAATGACAGGTCTGACAAAAGAAGAAGGCGACCATCTGTCTAACTGGCGTTGTCAGAATTGTTTTATATCACCTTACATTAAAAGCATAATAATGAAGAACTAAAAACACTACGGAATGTTATTAGGCAGGAACTTGAGGCCCTTACACCTTGTATCAGAGGGGTTGTTGAAAATGCAGTGAGCGAGAACATTCCAACTAACTTCGAGTCTGAAAAACCTAAAGAAATATCAAAGATAGTGAACCAGGCTTTCCAGTCCTTCGCCGATGTTACTGCTAGCAGTCAGAAGAAGGTTATTGAAGAAATTAGTCTTGAACAGGCTTCCCATAGTGTTGTTACGAAAGTTCAAATAAGGATGCAAGACTTATATGAACGCAATGCACGAAAACATAATCTTTGTGTTGTAAAAGTCCCAGAGAGTAAGAAGGCTACCTTTAAACAGCGGAAGGAGGATGACTTAAAATTCTGTGTGGAGACTTTAAAGATAGATAAGAACGACCTCGTCAGTTGCCATCATGCTGGTAAAGTTGATCCAAAGAAGCCTGACTATTGCCGACCACTGATCATCCAGACAGTTGATGAAGAATCGGTAAATTATTACTCAAATCATGGTAAGGGCTGGCAAGAAGCATCATATTGGATCAATCTGGACTTATGCAGAGCAGACAGAGATATTCGTTTTTAGCCAGGAAAGAGAGAAAGGAGAGAAAGAAGAGTCAGGAGGAAGTAGAAAGGAGTTTAATCCTGCCAAATGTAAAGTTGTTCATATTAATCTTAATAGCAACCCCAACTTAAATTATTTAGTAAATGGCGTAGAACTTGAAGTATCTGATCAGGAAAAAGATTTGGGGGTTATTACCCATAGTTCCCTGCTTTGGAATGAACAGATAAAAGCATGTATTTCCAAGGCAAATCGTATGATTTGTATAAAAGAATATGATTTCTAAATGTATTGTAAATGATTTTCGAATTTTTCGAATTTTTCGAAAGAAGTTTTAACAAGAATTGAAGGTACCAGTTATATCAGAAATAAGGAAAAACACAATGATTATCTGTGGTTTCATCCTTATGTAGCAAAGAAACGTTTTATAAATATTTACTCCACTGGGAAGTATGATTAAATTAAAAAATTTTTAATTTTGTTTTTATTCTTGATTAATATTTGGTAAATTATTATTTTTAAATTTGATGGAGAAATAGTTACTGTATATTGTAGTGTGATGATACTTTGTAGACATTAGTGATGATGTTATGCCATAATTTTTACTTTATTTTACTTTACTTTCAACTTATCTAGAAAATTTCAGATGGACACTTTCTCAGAGACAGTCAAAGCACAAAAGACAGTTAAAATCGTGCAGAATTGCCCTAAATGTGACATTTATAGTATATTTTTGGCCCTGAGTGATCTCTTAGAAATGCTGTAAGTCTTATTTGTATTTTTTACATAATCATAATATTCAGAGCTTCTGTTTATTTTGAAAGATTTTCCACAGTAAAAATAATGTGCCTATGTCTTTCAACGTAAGCTTTTGACAATCCAGTAACCTATGAAGGTTGGTAATAGTAGCACAGTCGATAGATGGGTCCTGATGTGCCCATTTTAAGCTCAATTTATGCTGTATTTAACCAACTTTATTAGATCCACTATTTGTGAAATAAAGTTGAAATACAAAGTTATGAACCTGTTACACATAAATGCTATATCAAGTAACTTGAAATTTGAACTCAAATAATGTCAGGTATCTTAATTATTATGAAGGAAGAAAGTTACCATATTCATACGAGAAAGAAATGTATGAGCTGGCAAGAGAGAAGTTGTCGAACCAAGACGAACTCGCAGATATTGGTTGCAGGGAAACAGTAGATGCACAACTAGAGGATTTCAGACTTTCTGCAAAGACGGTTTTAGAATCGAATGCTATGAAAAATCCAGGTATGTTTTCGTAGTAAAACCACTGGAATAACTACTGTAGTCAAAATCTATTTTATCTTCACATCTAAAGTTAAAGGGCACTCTCTTAAGAGTATTAGTCACTTAAAACAATTCAAAGTTAACCTACAAGACAATTCAAGAATTGACGTTTATATTTCCAAATATCACAGTCAAAGAACATCTCTCTTTTGCAGGCACATTCTTAATCTGTTTAAAATTCGCACTTCACACACAAAATCCCAAAGGGTCTCAATGCCTGGCCATTGAACAGGGATTATGGGCTAGGAAAGAATCAGTAAATATCATTGTAGGCGCATTTGAACGATACCTGTGGTACATTAAAGCTGAGAACATGGACATCACACGGAAGCAAGTGATAGAATCGCTTACATCTTTGAAGGAAATGGAAGCATTTGACAGCACTGTTTTCATGAGACTATTTAAAGCAGGTAAATATCAAAATACAATCTTTATCACCTGTTAAAAATCGTTTGTAATACAAAATAAATTATATTAATCTGAATACGATACCTGATGTTATATAAGCATGACAATAGAAATGCTTCGAACTAACAATGACAAATAAAACCCTGTTATTCTCAGGGATTGAAGAAAAAGATAGCAGATCAATTTTTGATGATTTTCGAGAATTTGAAGAGGAATATGTGGGAAAAAAGTCTACCAAAGTTTTTAAGGCTCAATGGAAAAACTACATGCACAATCGGGAATGCATGTTGGGATATACAGGCATTTTTAGGTATTGAGATATGAGAATACTGTTTTATTTCAAAGTTTCTCACCAAAAAAGCTGGCCAGAAATATCTCCACGCGTTTTGGATTATACAAATCTAAGTGCAGACAATGATTATATTATGTTGACACCACCTGTACACTTTCATTTATGTATTTATTGACCACTTTGTGTATTTTCCAGGCAGGATACGAATAAATTATCACCAAAAGATACTTGTGAAGACTGAAGACAATTATCTTGGAGGATATTATCATTTTTACTTCGCATCGAATATCATTGCTTTGTCAATTCGCAGAGCATAACAATTTGGAAAGGTTGACATCGTCAATCAAACGCTTATCGGATATCAAATTATAAATAAATTGATTAGTTTTCATTAAATTGGACATCCATCTAATTGGACTTTAGCTTTAGCATTTATCTAATTGAACAGAATGTTGGGATATAGGACCAACATTTATTGTAGCCATAATTGCCTGCATGGTGCAATATTTGTTTATTTTTTCCGTACTTTACAAATAAAAACTCTGTTAGTAAATAAATTGTAAATACAACTTTTTGATAAATACTGTAGTTATGCTTTACTGGGCGGCGCTCAGCCTGTCATTCCGCCGAATCTTTATGTTTATGAACATAATAGCCTGGGGTCCCCAGGTAAAGTATATGTATGTCAAAAATCTTTGTTACATGTAATTATAAAAACTTGAAATACATTTATCGTTTATCATTTTTGCTTTAAACGTTTCGGACACTTTCCTTGTAAGTCTATGAGTAAGCTTGCCAATTTTTGTTGCAATCAGAGGTCGGGAAGAATACTAAACATCTATTTGTTTGAAGAAAATTGTGCTGGCCGAAATTAGCGCTAAAAAACTTACCTGAGGACCCCAGGCTTTAATGTTGGTAAACAATAGAATAGAGATTAGGCGGAATGACAAGCTGAGCGCAGCCCAGTAATAAAAAACCATCCTACAGTCGGCACGCGCAGCTCACTGTCGATGGCGCACTACCTACATATAATACACTGACATATAATACACTAACATATTATACACTGACTATGGACTACAGGCTATAATATACATCTCATCTAGCTCCGCAAGCAATTACCCTTGCGCGCCATGCGCGCGTCTAGTTGTGCCGTTGACATGGTAACTAACGGAAGTAAGAACTGACAACATATTCAAACCCACCTACCGCGATCTCCAAAATCCAATGGTCGTTTTTCTGCAAAAACGACCATTCGATTCGTAACCTTTCACTTTTGTCTTTTTACAAAAGAATGTGAATGAAAAAAAATGGGCCTTTACGTACATTAAGTGCAGCTAGATGCACTTGGTTTTCTTAATGCCCATTTGACTAGCATGAAGGTTACGGCGCGCCGCGCGCTATACTACTGCGAGCGCTGGAAGGAACTGAAGATATATCCAAATAATACGACAAAAATCAACGAATTTGGTCAAATTTGGTCAAATTACGCGACTTTTACAGCTAATTTTGCTCCAAAAGCCACGCACCATCAAATATGGCATTTAGGCGAAACTCATTGATCTTTTCAAAAAGGTATGACAAATTTGGTATTGTGAAAATTCTCACAGTCTCTACACTTTAGAAAACAATGGTACAAAAATTTTTAAAATCCGAGCAAGTTTATTTTATGGTGCACCCCCTATTATATGCGCGGTGCGAGTGTATTAATTGATGTATGCATGTATACACAGGAGGGGCTAAGTGCAAAGAAACTGCTGCTAACTGCTGCTCACTGCTACTAACTGCTGCTCACTGCTGCTCACTGCTACTAACTGCTGCTCACTGCTGCTCACTGCTACTAACTGCTGCTCACTGCTGCTCACTGCTGCTCACTGCTACTAACTGCTGCTCACTGCTGCTGTCGCGCGCGCGCCCATAGCAGCAGTGAGCAGCAGTGAGCAGCAGTGAGCAGCAGTTTCTTTGCACTTAGCCCCGCCTGTGTATAGTATTAGGTAATAAGTCCAATTTGTATGTGACATGCGTAGTTAATTAGTGTACTGACTACTGATGTGTACAATTACAAAACATGAGTATATTTCACTTTTTGCTTACAATTTCTTTAATTACAGATAAAAATTAAGCTTTATAAGGCAATTGAATTCA